GGTGTGGGTGGGTGTGGGTGGGTGGATGAATGGAGGGGGGGGGGGTGGATGGATCGATGGATTTATGTATATGTATGCATGCTTGCTTGCTTGCTTGCTTGCTTGCATAATTTCGTGTGTGTGTTTGTTTGCTTGCGTCTTTGTTTGTATGTGGGTGCTTTGATCTTGTTCCATGGTGTCAGTGCCTTCCTCATCTGCTGCCTGCCACAACATTAAGCAAAAATGCAAAGACTGGGGTTGCTCTGGCAGAAGATCAGTGCACGGCTCTGCAGGCTCCAGCACTCCGCTGCCATCCTCTAAGTTTGAGTCTCCGCAAGCTTCAAAACTTCGTCTCATGCCGCTGTGCCATTGTGCCTTGTCGAGTGCCTTGAACTGCTCGCTGAACTGAGTCACCTGGTAGACAGATCGAATGCTTCCCTCATATCAAAGTTACCGTCTTGGCCAACATGGCTGCTTTAGGAAGTTTCCTGGCTGCTTTGGCAGCCATGGCCCAGTGCCGTAGACGTAAGTCAGCGCGTGCATGGTGCCTCCATTGCCCTCTCTTGCAAGCATGCCGGGGTTGCAAAGCGCTGGCTGACCAACTCACTGTAGACAGCCTCAAGCTTGACTTGCTGGCCATGTCAACTTTCTCAGCAGCTCAGCTTGGGCCGAGGCTTCTGGCAGTAGCGGCATGACCTAGCATTGCAGAGCTCTTGTCCCAACAAGCGGCATCCTCTCCCAAGCGCGCGAGCCTTCACGATGGCATCGCGATCCTTTTGAAGCTGATGCAGAAGACGATCAACAGCACGGCTGCTTTTGTCCACCTGTTGCATTGAGGACGGGCTACCCCTCTTGCTCAGACGAGGTGAATTGTCTGGGTCTGGGCCTCTACCTCCATTTTTGCCTGCTGTCCTTCCGGAGTTTCCATGAATGCCCTGAGATGAGAGGCACCACTGGTTCTCAACCCGATGCCCTTGTACAAAGCTTCCAACTTGCTCTAGAGCCACACATCGACTTTGGGCATCCAAGGTCAACACATGATCATCATGTACCGCACCTGCAGGGCTCAACGTGTCATCATGTGGGCAGCGGGTCAAAAGCACGTCGAAGGCCCCGAGCGGTTTGGAAGCTGGGGCCCTTGCAAAGTTGACAAACTCGTGCTTCGCAATCACCTGCAACATTGGCTGGATAGCCCTCTGCTTTCGCGCATACTTTCGCAGATGCTCAACCATGCTTGCCAAGCAAGGTATCTCCTGGCAAATGGCAAAGTGTGGCAAGGTCACGTTACTTCAGGTCTGTATTCCTTACAGTCCCATATTGAATGCGCTTCATGTGTCTCATGTGTAGCGCTCCTGGAACCACAAACACCCTCAACAACAAGCTGAAAGGCATCAACCACTTACTTAAAGTACCACTACTTGAACATAACCAACAGAATGCATTTAACCAAAGCCTTTGAGCACCCTGCTGCGCTTGCGCTCCACAGCTGAGGCTCAGGCACCATTCCTGTCAATGTCAAAGAGGTCGACAAATTTCTTGCAATGCTCTTCCGTCAGCACCAGGGCATGTGCCTTCCAGGCAAGTTTACGCATTCTTTTCAGGATATGTTAGGGCGGCCACTTACACAGCAGATCACAGCAGAGCACGGTAAGAGCGACCCGACGTCGTGCCTGAGTTAATTCCTGGACAACTGGCAGCAACTCTGCGGGCTCCAGGGTGCCATTTCCATCCTGGCATTTGCCACTTTGACAACTCCGTGAGATGAACAGGTTTCGTCCTTGTCCAGCTGTGCGAAAAACTCGTCGCAAGACTGTTCGAACTCTGTACTGGAGAGCTCATCGATAAGGGACTGGGTCAGAAGGCAACGTTTACAAACCGCACTTCCAACTGGCTTGCCGGTACTACAACTACCAATGACTCAGCAAATGGATGACATCGTCACCGGCCTGCGGCAAGAAAGGCAGCACGTCCCAAACCATCTCAGAACCTGAAGTACGAAAAGTGCTAGCCGCTGCTAGCCTCCCAGCCAATTGTAGGGATCTGGCCCTCTTTGAGGGATTGCAGCACGGACTCCATCTTTTCTTGGCCAAGCATCACATCTGCCATCAGGGCATCCTGGTCGTTTCTGGGAGCTCTCAATCTTGCACTCACTCATGGAAAGCGGTAGGAGACTTCCGCCAAAAGCATATTTGAAGCTCCTGGTTCTCCACCAGGTATGTCAGATAGCCCATCACGATGCAGTAGCGTGCGAGGAGCAAGAACTCCGCGGGCCTGCTGGCATGGCAGGAGGTGACTCAAAGTCACAGCTTCCAAAGCTTCTGTCAGATGGCTTCAGTTTCTGAGAAAACAACGTCACGGAATTCTTCAGCTCTCGGTCCTGCGCTTGAAACTGTGCTGACCTACAGCTTCCCAAACCGAAAGCAGCCAGCAAGAGCCGAGGTACCCATCGGCTCATGTAGTGGTTGCACTGCTCTTCACTGATCCGAAAGGGGTGAACCTGCGCAGATCTTGCAGATGTCCTGCTTTCCAATCCAAGCAGCATGTTATCTGCCTGTATGAGCTGATTGATGACCTGCAGAAGCATGCGGCATACAGGGTACTGGGCACAGCGAACGCCTTTGCTGGGGTGGCCACCGGGACCAGCATGCCTGGAGGCACTGTGCTGCCAGCCGAGCAATCCTCGCCTGCTGCTGCCTGTGCAAGACCCTACACACGCTACGGCAGACACACACGCTGCAGCAGACTTGACGAAAGAAAGCCTTGAAGCCATCCATGCAAGCCTGGCAAGGCGGCTGCAGCTACATATCCACCCAAGATGCCGCAGATTCGCTCCAAGTGCTCTACAACACTTCAACGAGCCTTCTGAAAATCGAGGCTGGTGATTTCCTGACTCATACTGTTCTTCAACGCACAGCACAACTGCAGCAGAGGCCAAAAAAATTCTCAAATTCTCAGTCGGCAGCCCAGTACAATGGCTTTGGAAGCTGCTGAAGCACTTCTTGAAGGAAGTCCGGATCCTGTGTAAACCCAGACATCCACATGCACCCGTCCATCTGATCACATCAGCATTTTTTCTCAAGGGGAACCGATAACTTTGCCATGCTGGATTGAACATGCCTCTTCCAGCATCTGCAGCATGACATGGTTGTGGTCGGCACCCTGAACTACGTCGCTGGCCATTTTTGAGACCTAAGCAGCCCGAGTTGGCATATGTCTTGAGATGAAGCGCAGCCGTAGCACTGCAATGCCTGAGCTCCCTGCATCCTGACCCTCTTCTGTGTTTGTGAGGAAGTTCATCACCGTTAAGAACTGGGCGAATTCGATGAACTCATCCCGCCTGATGGGACTAAGAAGGACTGAAGCTTTTACACCGTAAAGTCTTCAGACACTGCAGCTGGGTGCCGTATTCCAAAGAAATGGAGTGCGGGATAGCACTGGAGCACTGGAGCACTGCAGCCGGCTAAGCTGCAAGCCGGATGACTCCATTACCATCTGTATCGAAGAGAGCCGTGAACCTTACTGAAGTCGCAATCATGAGTTTGGATACGATCTGGGCTCGCGGGTCGTGGCCTTTGACAGCGCTCTTCTGTGATGGTCACCCCATGCTCCTGGTCAACAAAAGATTAATCAAGACAAAAGGTGAGAATAGGTGAGAGAAGGAGAAGAGAGAGGGTTGGGAAGGCTCCCAAGCCTCGGTCTGACAAATGGCTTGGATCACAGGGATCAGCTCCACAGGTTCGAGGCTGCCGTTTCCGTCGGCGTCCAAGCCGTCGAATTGTTCGTGGCAGGCCTCCAGCTTCCCGGCTTCCCGGCTTCCCTAACTTTGCTCTCGCGAGAAGTATCCGATGCCCATGGCCCTGCACCTCCTCGAACTCCTTGCCCGTGAGATGATTCACCTCAAAATCTCAGGCACACAGCTTTTTTCAATGCCATAGCCTCGCATCGCGCTGATGGCTTGTGAGGTCGTTGGCGCGCGGAGAGCGGCGTGGAAAATTAGAATGGACGAGTCTGTGCTAATCAGAAAATGTCGTGATTCTGATGGGGACTGGCCACGTACGGGTTGAAGGCATGTCCGAGAATGTTTTCCCACAAGAATTTATTGATATGGAATATCTATGCTTGCTTTGGTCCCCCAACCCGTTGCTTGCCCCATTCTAGCTTTACACAGAATTGGTCTGGTAACTTACTTGCCGTAAGGGATCATCTGGGGAACACCTGATTACGTGACCTGCCAACTTGCCTGCCCGTTCGAGCACCACATCTGAGAAGAGTGTTAGGTCCCTCTTTGTTCTCCATTACCATTTCTATTGATTTCTTCATTTGCTTTGCGCAGCACAACTTTGTTCGTGTTCGCACAGTTGACATATGTAGTTCGTAAACCAGGATTTGTCGAAACCCTCTCAACTGAAAAGCGTTTACTGCGCACTGACTGAGCAACGACAAAGTCTCTAAGGTCCATGCCAGCCATTCTGGAAGGAATGGAATAATGCTCCAGAGACGTTCCTGCCATGCACCCAGGTTGCAGGAATAGCGAATACACTGGAGCAGCAGGCACCTTGTCTGCCTCAATCATCTTGATCAAGTCCTGCAGAATGTGAATGCAAAGCCATGAAGGGTGCATTGCCATAAATTCCCCCGTGTCAGGGTTCATCTCATAATCGAGAATCAGTTGATCTTGGACAGCCTGGCCTGGAACGATCTGTCAGCGACCTCCGCCTGGCACATGGTCGGATTGTACCCACAGGGGCACAGGGGCATCAAGAAATCCGAGCAAAAGGTCTTCGAGCTGCTGCAGTGACATGAAGAGGACATGAGCATGAGCACACTTCCGAGAATGCCTTTTGGATGGTCTCCTTTCCTTCCTGGCAGGCCCCCAACAGCATCAAGCTTTGATCGATGATGTCAGGAGGCTAATCATCGTGAGTCACCTCGCTCTCCAGCCACCCAGCAACAGTGACAAATTGAACCATCTGTGTAAACTCGGCGATGTTGATCAGGCCATCCTGCCACCACTAAGTCAAGCTCGTTTACATCTAGCCGCCTTCACAAGGAGGAGCTCATGCCAGCACAAACATTGCTGTGCCATCCTTCTTGATCTGCATGCCTGCCTACTGTCTTCCACAAAGCAGAAACAACGGTCTCCTGATTGGAGTCGAACATGTCGCCAAATTTCCTTCCAGGCAACGCTGTCTCACATGCAAAGGGGCCTGAAGAGATAAACCTGAGCAACTTTTCAGCATTTTTTTGCCATCAGTGACCATCTTGGCAGCGGTCCTGCACTGATCCGCTGAAATGGAATCCTTTTGAGCGCGACTCAGCTCCACCTGTCGAAACAAAAGGCAGTGCAAGTCTTGCACAACGGCTATCCATGGTCGCAAGTTCTGGATATTCTGAGCACGGCACAATAACTGGGATAAGGTCATCGGACGTCAACTCACCTAGGCATGCCCGTAGCATGCGGTTCCGCACTCAAGGATCGAAGGACGCTTTTGACAGCAATCTGCCCACGTGTTCTGGGCTATTTGCCGCGATCCTCCACGTCCAGAGACCTGAACTTCTCTTCACACCTCACAAGGTTTTGGGATGTGCTGCTGCCCCTGGCGGGTTTTGAAGAGATCGGCGTGCGGCTTGAGGGCTAAGAGCTGCGCAAAGTGGAAAACTCTGGGCTTGCCAGGCTGTGCCGCAACTTCTCCGGAATGAATGGCAGCACCTGCGGCTACGGCGCTGCCCACCCCCAAGCATCCCCAGGCCCCCACCAATTCCAGGTTGTTGCTGGCAACTTCCAGAGTCATCAAGAGTGTCTCCACCTCCACGAGATCTCCATGCGAGGATTTCGAAGCCAGCTGCTCACGTGTGAACGCCTACCTCCATATGCACCTACGCGCACCTTCGAGCAGCCACCAGCCGCAGCACCTTTCTGCTGCATCCTCATGTGTTCCCGAACCTTAATTCAGAGCTGTTGGCTTGTCAGAAGCTGCGAATTCTTGCTCAAAGTAATCGCGAACCTTTGCCGATCCCCTTCATGCTTCATGCTAGACATGATGAGCTTCTGGGCGGTGGGAACTGCCGCATTGCAGTTCCCAATCAAAAGCCGCCAAAAAAAAGTGACCAGGCAGAACTGCAGATCACCTTGAACTGAGTTGCATATTACTTGAGCCCTGAATGCAAACTTAGGACTGAGACCCGATCACTCGATCGACGCCTCTTTGCCTGTGACACGAGATCAAGAAGTGGTCTTTAGGTACAAGATGCAGCAGGTCTCTCCAGCCTTGTAGAGTTCCTTCGACATTTCGGAGTCGGGATCAGGCGAGACTGTACCACCTCAAAAATAGAGGCCAGTCATAAGTATCTTGTCCATGCGCAAGAACAGCAGAATTCGCACACAGATTTACAAGCTTGCTGGTCCATACTGTTGCAAGATAGGCACTCCATGGTGTCGCACACACAAACAGATGTGCGGACCAAGCCCAAGCTTGTGCGATGCCAGTGGCACAGCGCTAGACCCTAAACCTGAAACCGGGTAACGAAACCAAATTACTGAACCTGGGAAACTTAAACCCAAACACAAGACCCTAAACGCTAGCATTCGGTGAGGTATGGCCGTCAGCGATGCTAGTAATACCCCCAAGAAAGCATCGAAGAGAATCATGCGTTAAAATTGGAACGATACAGGGAAGATTAGNNAAGTGTACCAAGTTTTTTGTGCGTCCGGCAGTTGCAACCCTGAATCCCTGAACTGTAGATACGCATAAATCGAAGTCTACCCCACCCGAGCTGGAATTGATTCGGATGTCTAGAATATCTACGGAAGGATTGTTGATGGCTTGAACCTGACAGATTTTCATTTTTTTGAAGTTCCAGATGCGTAGCATTCAGTGAGCAGACTACGCTTCAAGCTGAGCATTATGTCTATGCCAGCCCACTGGAAAATCCAAGCAGACTTGCAGCGGCTTTCGATGCTTGGCTTGCTCTCAGGACCTTGCCGTACGGGCTGGCGGCACCATCGGCCTTCACACACGGCATATCTTGAAGGCACTCGGCGCAGGTCCATTTGAAACATGTTGTGCAACAGGAACGGACTCATTGAACCACTTTGCTCTACAGGCACTGCCTCTCCATTCGCTTTGGCCTTTGCCGCGGCTTTGTGCACAACTCGTGAAGTCCAACAAGGTGAATGAAAGCAAAGGCAAGCTGAAGCAACAAATTACAAGACTAGGCTTTTGTCCAATCTCCGCTGTGCCGATTTGGTGCCTGCAGCGGGTCTAGAGTGCTTGTCGGGTCTTGAAACCGCGATATCACCGCGTCAACGAATTATGCAGTCGCTTTGTTCCGCTCCGACACCGTCAAGAAGCGATTAGATCTCCCAGCAGCTAGATGCAGAAGTACGTGGATCATGGTTTCCGTTGGAGCGGGTCATTCATAAAACTTCTGCAGGTCGTGCTGCCCATGCCTGCTTGGAGAAAGGAAACAGTCCACTCTTTTGCCTACAAAGTAGGAAGAGCTTCTGACAAGCAGAAAGGCAGCAGAAAACAGGTTCGCATCGGCCGCTCGTGTATCGATGCGAGCCATTTCATCAGCAACTCAAATTGCGGGTTTGCACTACCCACGACAAGGAAGGAGTGCAAAGTTGATGGCTGCCAACATCCCATCAGTCTTTCCGGCGGCCTTGCCTGCATCTGTACATTTGGCCATCCGATGGTGATGCGGTGCCGACGTGAAACATGCTTTGCGCTCGGCGCAAGCCTGGTGGCGTTCAAACGTCTGACCACGCAATCGTGATCACAAGCTCCTATGCCAGCTGGCAAATCAGTCCTCGTAACCTGGCCCACGGAAATGATCACCCATTCATCAGGCCACAAGTGCTGATCAAGAAAGCTGTACATACAGAGGCCACGCAAGCCATGAAGTCTAAAAGTTTTTGCAAGTCTTGAAATTCTTGCAAGCCGTCAAGAAATCCTGGTAAACGATCTTGCACCCGGGATAATCCTCCATCATACGCTCGGGATGGAATTGCAAACCGATCATGAAGCGACCCTGCTCTGGGTTGTAGCGAGAATCATAGAACCCCTCAAGGATGCCATCCGGAGCGTAGGCCATTGGCTTTAAGCCTGCTCCCAATGTTTGCACTCCTTGGTGGTGGTAAGAGTTCACGCTCAGCATGTCGCTGTCCACCAAAGACTCCTTGAACCACGATGCAAGAGGGGTGTTCGGCAACACCCTGATGGGATGGCGGTGACTATCATAGGCGGGATCACTGGCATCCTTGAGATGCACAACAGCATTGGGGACCTCCTTTTCAATATCACCGATCAATGTCCCACCTCTGAGAACGTTCAGCATCTGAGAGCCACGGCAAAGAGAAAGAACTGGACAACCTGAGTCAAGTGCCAAGCGCATCAACGCGAACTCGAGCTCGTCCTTCGACAAGTCCTTAGCTGGAGGAGGAGAATCTCAACTTGGCAAAGAAAATTCTTAAAGCCTCAAAGTTCCACAAAGCTTCAAACTCCGTGTCGCTTGCCCACTTCATGGCATCTTCTCCATCCAGGCGGTCTGGAGCACAGCAGCCATACTTCTCGAGGACCTCGTCGGAAATGTCATTCCCCTCGACAACGAGTAGACCGTCCATCGGCAAGTACTCGGCCAGCGCAGGAACTGTAAGAGCAGTTCTAGGGATCATGATGGCGGCACCCCCGTTCTCTTGAATGAGGTCAAGATGGTACTCCCCAAGGAAGTCCACATACTTCCCCTTGCGAAGGTGTCGACGTGTCACACAAAGAACACGAGGCGGCGCACTCCAGGTCGTAGGAAGATCACGTGTGAGCTTGTAGCGCTGTAGCTGAGACCGCGGGGGAGCGCGCTCCTTCTTCTTGCTCAAGACTTTGCGGCCAAGCCTGGCCGGGGACGGCCCTTCATCTGTCGCATCGCTGTCGTCACCCCCACGAGCTACACGGTACAAAGGCGAGCACATCTTGCCGTGGTCACGGTCTTCATCGGTGTCGATATCCCTCTCATCCAGCCCTACCATCTCAAAGCGGAGATCCATATCATCTTCACTGGGCACCTGCCGCCGTTTGTAGATGCAGGAGTCGGAAGAAATTCGAGCATATCCTTGAGCTCCACCGTAGGCCATGCTAGCGTTTTGGCTAACGAAGGCTCGCGCGTGCTGAATCAAAAAATTGACAAGAGCTGCCTCGCTATCAAAATCAGCGCTGCTTTTGAGCATCAGCATATGGCAGAGGACAAGCATCGCGATAAGACACTGGCAAGCCGTCGGTACGATGAGCGCAGCCCACTTTAATTGAAAGTTGAGCTTCCGGCAGCAAGCTGGCGTGCCTTGGCCAGATGTTCCTGGCAATATGAAAATCTCAAATGTCACAGATGGCCGCGAAAGCTTGCCAGGTCTTCTGCACTTGAATACAATGGAAAGAAGATGAATGTGGCCAAGACTTGGCGATGTGTGCACAAAGACCATGTGAGGTTAGTGGACAGAACGGAAGGAGGCATTATGCAACCATGACCATGCAAGGGTAATGAACGCTACAGATGGAGTAAGGAGGTTGCATGCGACCACCAGCAAATGTTGTTCAAATCATGACCTTGACATGGTAATGAACACCACGGCGGGAGTGGGGGGTATTGATGCAACCATGGAGGTGGACCACGACCATGCAAGGGTTGTGAGCGCTACAAACGAGGGGGAAGGTTCCATGCATCCACCAAGTATGATGTTACTCGTACCATGATAGCAGAAGAGAAGCCAACACTAGAGAGGAAGTAGGGAGGCTTGATGCAACCAAGGACAAGATGAAATTACAGTCACGATTTTGCAAGTGTAAGGAACACCAAGCAGGAAGTTGGAAGATTTGATGCAACAATCCAGCATGATGTTACTAGTACCATGACCATGCACGCGCATTTAACGCTTCAAACAGGGAGCAGGGAGGTAGAGAGCAGCATGTTGCCCGCACCACGATCACGCAAGCGTAGAGAGTGTTACACAAGGAGGAGGGAGGTTCGATGCACCCACCAACCATGATGTCACGTAGCAGTGAGCACAGCAGAGGGAGTAGGGAGGGTAGCAGTAAACACTACAGGGAAGCATAGAGGTGTGATGCGACCGCCAGGCATGAAGATATTCGTGCCATGAGCATGCCAGGGCAGTGAAAACTACAGAAATGACAGTGAGGTGTCATGCAACAACTACGCAGCATGATCGGGCACAGACCAACACAGAGGAAGTACACAGGTTTGTGGCAACAACCAAACATGATGATTCGTAAAAAAAGACCATGACCTGGTACTGAGCTCTACAGCAGGGAAGGTTTCATGTGGCCACCAAGCATGATGTTGCTCATACCAAGCAAGTGCAACGGCAAGTAGGTCAAGTAACCCATGAGCGAACATGTGAGTTCATGAGCAAATCCCCGGCCATGGTAATCATGGAAACAATCTACATTGACCCCTCCCCCTCTCCCGCTTCCAACCCCCCCCCCCCTACTATTGCTAAAGCAAGAGATACCTCGAGCAAGCAAGCTAGCTTTCGTGATTTGAGATGCAAGCACAGCAAAGTCATTCTGTGATTGCCTCATGTTACGGTTGCAAGGCAGACAACTACACAGCACGCTGGGGGGGCTTGAAGAATCCCCACTCGCCTCCACATACCTGTGCGGATCTGCTGGCTTGGCAACAAGAAGCCCATGCAGAAGCTCCTCCACGTGTCATCGCTGCCCCAAGAGGAAAGACTGTGACCCCGGGTTCTGCTGCAGACTATGCATCCATTGCTGCTGCAGGTCAGCAGACACTAGTGCTGTCACTGTCCTTTTGGCTAGACATGTGACATCTCTTGGCAGCACAGCTTGCGATTCATGCAATCATGATCAAGTCCTGAAAGGTTCTCACCAGGTCGTGCTCCTTCCAATCGAGCCACTGCTTTGAGGAACCCCGCTGTCAATGATGCATAGAGAAGGCATCTGTTTGTGACACTTCGCTAAGATCGCAGCAGCAGCAGCAGCAGCAGCACTGTGCGACTACCGAACTTGCCCAGACTTGTTTTCGCGGCTTGCAGCGTCTTGCGGGATTTTTAGGCTACCGTATCATGGGCTACTGTATACCCTTAAACCGACACCAGGCATCGACGGAAGGTTCTCGTCCAAGAAAGCCACGCAGCATCTCATAGCCTGGTTTCGTTGCACATGGGCTCAGGATTTCCGACCGGAGTCGATGCCCAGTGCTGGCACTCAATGGCCCCGTCGGGGAGTTGCGCATGGCTTCAAAGATCTCTGCTGCGAAGACGTCACTCCAGCCGTAACCGTAAACCCCGGCATCATAACCGATGTACAAGTGATACCACGCGGCACTGAAGTTGGTGTTTGGGAGTTGTTTCAAGGATGTATATTTCTCGAAAATGCACCTGTGCAGCTCGGGCACCGAGAGGCCTTCCTTGCCGTCATAGGAGTAAGGTGGAGCTTGAGAATGCAGTACGAGGTCGAAAATGAACATGGCAAACGCTCGGCTTTCCTGAGTACCTGCGGCATGGCTTTGCTACACCATGATCCATTAAGTCTCAGCCTCTTCCTCCAAGCCAACAAACAGCCACCTGGATTTTGCTCGTAGGTAAGGATCGGTATCTCCACTATGGAGGACAGAACTCTTTGCCTGTTCAAGTTCCTCCAACTTGCTAGCCATCCAAACGTGCATTGAGGCTCTACATGCGAGGCTTATGCGCGCGCCAATTTGTGTCCCGGCCTGCCATGAATTTTTCAAGTGACTTGATCTGCTCGATGGTCTTTGAGTCCAAATGTGACTTGGCTCCGGAGAAATGTTGAGCAACCCTGTGGAGCAGAGCAGGCTCACCAGCAAACTTCTCCAGAGCCATGCTGGGCACTTCCAGAAAATCTTGTTCAACACCGCCTGGCCATGGCACCATCGGCCATGCCCATGATAGGATGCTGAATCGCGTCTGCGTGCACAAGCAATGCATTGCATGGCCAAGTTCGTGAAACAGCGTCTTCATCTCAGTAAGACGGAGCAACGCCGGCCTGTCTCCTTCTGCCCGTGCAAAATTCGAAATGTTTACACAGGCAGGCACACACTCTTCGCCAGACTGGCTGGTGAAGGCTGGTGCCAGTGGCAAGATCATCTGGTGTGCAAACTTGCCATCACGCGGAAACTGATCCAAGTAGAGGTGCCCAATCAGCCTCTGGCCATCTTTGACCTCAAAAGCCACAACTTCCTCGTGCCACAAGGGCAAGGTCGTGCTTCGCTCAAATGCCAGTCCAAGAAGCTCGGAATACACTTCCAGGATGCGCTGAATTGTTCCCTCCAAAGGAAAAAACTCCTTGAGCTTTGCATCATCTAGTTGCAGCTCTTCCCTCTGAAGGATGTCTGTGTAATATGCCATGTCCCAAACGTCCAAGTCATGCGCTGAGGGGCTGTCCTCAGTTGCTTTATATCGCTTTCAAGGAGAACTTGCGAACCAAGCTTGAATTCCAAAAAAACGCCAGGCGATTTATGCCACGCTTTAGTAACAAGACTCAAGCTCATCCAATTTCCGCTTCCGGCTGGCGGCTTCAGAGTCTACTTGATCGTGCGTCCTCTTCCTCCAAACTAAACATGAACCATGGTCTTTTGTCGTGTGATTAGCTTTCTACATTCGCAATGTGCTGGTTGCGCGTTTTTCTTCCATCCCCATCCTTTGACCCAACTTCAACAACTCGGCATCGCGAAGGGGGCGAAGTCTTTGCTGCATATCCTGGCATTCTGCTGCAAGACACATCAACAACTGAAAACCTCCCAGCCTCACAGAACCGCCGTGCTGCTTCGGCATCTCCGGCCTGTTGACAGAAGGCTTCCAGCACAGCACATTCTCTTCCCTGACCTCTTTGTCCGCTCATGCCCGGCCATCTTCTGGGAAATCATGCGCTCTGCATGGCAGCTGAAGCCCAGTCGTGCTGCTGCAGCTTGGCGAAGAGAAAGAAGCTCCTGGCAGGTCGTGGTTCAACACAATTGGCAGCAAAGTGGGGCGTCATGTGCTTTTCAAGTGACATGCTCTATGCGATCTGTTTGTTCATTATTCCAGTGGTGGAATCTATTGGGGCAGTATTTGGGAATCTCGTGCTTGCTTTCCCATCCTTTCTTCTTCTTTTTCATCTTCTTCGGTCCAGGCCTTGACCAAAACTCATCGCGTTTGTGTTCGCTGAGCGTGCCCGAAGTATTCGCAGACGTGAAGCCTGCGAGCGTCCCAACCTGGCTGGACCCCTCCAGGATCGCTATCCTTTTGGACCCTCGTTTCTCCTTCGCGTGTCCAAAGTGTCAACGGTCACAAGGATGTGGGCACTACCGTCGTTGCTTGTGGACCTGGAGTGTGCAGAGTGGAGTGTGGGGAGGAAAGCCGAGTGGAAAGTGCTGGGTGGTGGAGCTGAGTGCGGAGAGCAACATCATCAAGCCATCCACCCAGAAAAACAGCCCCACACTGGAGCAGAACCATGCCAACTGGACGCTCCCACAATGTGCACATACCAGTCCGGCCGCCTGGCCTGGGATTAGAGCCCGGCTTTTGGCCAGAGCTGCCAAGCGGTCAAAAACAGTCCTTGCTGGAGGACCTGTGTGCTTGCTTGCATAGCAGCTTGCTGCTTTCAGGAACGGGCACAAAGGGACCCAGGAACGGTAGCTTGCAGCAAGT